ATATATATATATATATAAAAAATCAAGAATTAGCTTCAGATTCCTACACACATAATACTGCAGCATCCTTCAAAAGTGACTCAAAAAACACTGGTTTCCACTCTGCAAAAATGCAACCTTTAAACCTATAACTGGTATCAGCAGATCAATATAAAAAATACTTGTGTTTTTCTTTTTAAGACAGAAGTTGTTAATGTAATGAGTTGTTTTTTCTAAACTAAACCCTCAGTATGCAGGTTAATTGCAGCATTGGCACCTGGCGATAAATAAGTGGATTTTGGGTTGTAGTTTGGACACTCATCTCTAAAAGTTTTGCCATCACTGACCTATCTCAGGATACAGGACCAAACTTGGAAAGAGCAATGGGAGACTGTCGCGAGCCGCGACATCAGGATCCTGCCAGCAGGTCCTAAACCTGAAAGGACGAGGACAGAGAGACGGGAGGCACTTTTCTTCTCATGTTCCTTGCTTTATTTATTACAGAACCTCTTCCTTTTATACTCTCCCTGGAGCGAGAGTACCACCCACACATTCCAGAAGGAAACCGTTACAGTTGCTAGGCAACAGATCAGACCACCAGCTGAACTAGCCCATTGCTATGGGCGATGGCACGTCCACACTGCTCGAGTGAATCACAGGTCAATATGGCTGTGCTCTCCATAATTCCCCCGTTTTTCTTATGTCAGTGAGTCCCCTGCAGAGGACGCCAGACATATGCCAAGGAGCTCCTGTCTTAGGTGGCAGGGATGTCCTTTCTCCTTACCCGTCATCAGTGAAGAGGGCTTATGTCCCTCTTGCCTGTCTTAGGTTGGTAGAAAGGATGCCCTGACCTTACCCGTCTCTGGATACTCCACAGAGAGGGAATTATGTGTGACAGGCTTGCGCCAAATAAATGGCCACCCGGGATACATCATTCTCTACTGAAGCCTGCACAGCCGTAACAAGTTGCTCATGACGAAACACAAAAGATTGATACATTCTTGTCATCTTGCGATACATATAAAAGTTACAAATACAAAGAACATCAAAACTACAATGATCACCAAGGCAGGAGTACTGTTCAGCGGCAGTACCGAAATGTTGGCCTGAAGAAGACATGAATCTGTTTACCAAAGTCCTACAGACAAGCTTAAGTCCATGTAATATTTGAGTGACCACTCCAAAAACCCTTGAGATGTAAATCCTTGTTCTGGACAATAAAGTCTCCGCTTGTGCACCAAGACACATCCTGGAGTTCTCTCCACTGCTCCAGTGTTGGGGTCCCAATCCAATCTCCAGAATGGAAACCCAGCTTCAAGCTATTCAGGGGTAGTGGCAGGTCTATAAATGTACCTGCAACCGTAAGTAGGTGGAGCAGAAGAGAGGAGAATACCTGGACCAAAAGGTTACCATCACAAACAATATACTGGAAAACCTGCATGGTCAAACAATATAAATACATTTTGTATACCAGAACATTTAAGACAAACATATAAGACAGTTTTAACGAGTGCACTCAGATGGTTTTGGCCAATTGAACTATAAAATCTTTTAGTTACGACTAGTCAACATTTTTGCAGGTCAAAATTAACAGAGATCTCTTGTAGAATTAGGGTTAAAGGAATGAAAGCTCTTCTTAACTGTAAATATAAACCTTTTATAACAGACTTGAAACCAACAAGCAAACATAAATAAATGATTTCCACACACCTTCTCTATCTGCTTAGGCCTTCTGATCTTGTATATCTTTCTTTACCTGTTTTTTAACAAGATACAAAAGTATAACTCTTACTTATAGCTTTCCTAAGATTTTTCTGTCTTATTTACTATTAAACTTCTATTTGTAGATGTCACATAAGATGGAAAAGCAGGAAGAATTAGCTCTTAGGAGGAGCCTTCACAATCTTTATCTTTAAGGGATTAACAGAGTCTGTAACAACATCCCATGAAATAACACCGGAAGATTGTCTTTGGTCCTTTTCACGGCTTGCGTTAATCTTTTTGATAAAACGCTCCGGGATCCACTGCGGTTGATCAGCGTCCTGCGGAAAGACACAAGCAAAACCCCTTCCCCAAAGAATTGTGTGGCAGACCGCAATCCAATCACTTGGTGTTAGCCAGGATCCAGTAATGAAGTCCAGGATAGCACAAGTGAAGGGAGCTGCAGTGCCATACTGATTTACAGCAGTCTTTAATTCTTTCACCAATTTAAACTCAAGAGGGCGATGTTCTCTAATCGGCCCTTGTGGTCCCTCTACTTGAACGACGGGGGAATAGTTTAAAGACTTCCTCCCCTTGTGCTGCAGCGCATTTGAGAGCCTCTTGTAAAGGAGATGCTATGCCTTGAGACCCTTTAGTTGTTATGGGGTTTTTACCATTGGGCTCATTGGTAGGCCTGGCCTCTGAGGCACAAAGAGACGCAAGTCTGCTTGAGAGGCATGAAATCTGCTGCCTCAGCTGAAGTTCCTCACTGAGCTCCTGATTAATAGTACGTAACTGAGCCAGGTTTGCCTCCCTCTGAGTGGGGGGTGGTGCAGAAGGTGGTGGACGCTCAAGTGTTTTTTGAAAAGCCTCAAAACTGGGATATAGTGCTGCGGGGGATCCTCCAGAATCTGGAGGCTCGGGGGACTCAAGTGAAAGAGGACATTCTCTAGCGCCTTCTTCTGGACCAGGTTCAGGAGGCTCTGAAGTCTGAGAGCGCTCCTCTCTAATTTGTTCTAACCCTTCATGCACCTCGTTTAAGGCTTCCAAAATTTCCCTTTTGGTTGGGGTCCTGAGAGCTGCGTTTAACAAAGCCCAATAAAAAGGAGCACCTTCTGGAAAACGATCGGGCTCAGCCACAAGGGCTTCATTCAACTGTTTTCCAACTGTCTCCCATACTTCAGCATTTATTTCTGCCTTACCATATAGCCGTGGACAAACTGTGTCTAGAATCTTAACAAAGGCCTCTAATTGTGCCCTTTCAACTGTTACTCCTTGTGCTTTCTTCAATAGGCTCTGAATTGAATTTGCTAGATAATTTCTGGATTCTGACTGTCCCATTTTTTTTTTTTAATCTTCCCAATGGACTTGACACTCTCTACCTTCTATCACTTTTTTCTTTTTACCTTCCTTCACTTTTTTTTTTCTTTTTACCTTCCTCTGGAGCACCATCGCTGCCTTCGACCTGGGTCCGGGATTCATGAAGTGAACAGTAGACTTACTGCGAGGATCAGGCGCAGCGGTCAGTCCTCCGGAGCACCGTCGCTGCCTTCAACCTGGGTCCGGGATTACATATCCCCATCTACTTTCAGGTCCCTGTTCAGGCGCCACTTGTCGCGAGCCGCGACATCAGGATCCTGCCAGCAGGTCCTAAACCTGAAAGGACGAGGACAGAGAGACGGGAGGCACTTTTCTTCTCATGTTCCTTGCTTTATTTATTACAGAACCTCTTCCTTTTATACTCTCCCAGAGTACCGCCCACACATTCCAGAAGGAAACCGTTACAGTTGCTAGGCAACAGATCAGACCACCAGCTGAACTAGCCCGTTGCTATGGGTGATGGCACGTCCACACTGCTCGAGTGAATCACAGGTCAATATGGCTGTGCTCTCCATAGGAGATGGTAAAAAATTAAAGACAGTCACAACTGTAAAGGATAGCTGGTGATGGAGATAAGTATACATATGTGGCTACCTGCTCACACACAGGGTGTTGGACACACACAGAGAAGCTGGGTGTGGTGGTGCAGGCCAGTGGTCCCATCTGTGCAAGAGCTGAGGTGGGAGGATCTTTTGAACCCATGATTTTGACTGGCCTGGACAGCATACCAAAACTGTCTCAAATAATAATAATAATAAACAACAATAAACAACCAGAAAACAAGCTGGGTACCTATTGTACATGCATGCCTGTAATTGGGAGGCTGAGGCAGGAGCACTGTGAGCTTGAGGCCAGCCTGCCCTACAATAGCAAGTTCAGCTTGACTAAATAACAGAGTGAGACCTTGTTGAGAAGAAGAGGAAGGGAAGGGAGAAGGGAGGGGAGGGGAGAGGAGGGAGAAAGGAAAAGAAAAGAAATGCGGAGAAAAAAACTCCACCAACACCCCCCAAAATACCAAAGTAAAAAAACAAAAAGATAAAAGAATTTGTATGGGTGGTGTAGAGCTCAGGGGAAGAGTGCTTATGTAGCATATGTGAGGCTCTGAGTTCAATCTCTGGAACCAAAGAAGAAAAAAAAAGAACCCCAAACCCAAACATACACACACACACCCCAAAAGACTACATACATACGTTTATCACCCTTTTGCTGTACCAGGGCTTTGTACTCCCTAGGCAAGAGTTCTACTGCTGAGCTGCATCCCCAGCCCCCATTTATTACCATTTTTGTCAAAAGAAAAAGATAATTCGGTAATCATGGGCCTTCCCCATGCTGGCCCCTGCTGTAAATACCTCACAGCTGTTGATGAATTTAATCCTCAGCTGCTGTGTGAGTTAGCTGTTGCTTTTAACTTCTTACCAGTGAGGATGAGGACAAAGGCACAGTAGTTTAACTGAGAGGTTAAAGCAGACCTATCTCATTGCTCTCCTGCATGTGGCTCTGGGCTGATGTCCAGCCACCTGTCTGTCCAGGCCTGGCCCTCACAGCTGTACCCCGGGGTGTGCAGGTACCATCTCCTATCTTCCTCCCCCCTGCAGTTGTGACACTGCTGCCAGGCCCAAGGGCCCCAGCAGCACGAAGAGGGACAGCAGCGTACTCGATTGAGAGCACTCGCATAGGAGGCGGCGTCCAAGCGTGGGCCTTGCAGGTGCACCAACCACTGCACACACTGCTGGCCCAGGCCTCACAGCCTCCTTCAGACCTGTCTCCATTTCCAAGGGCTCTGGGGTAGTTTGACAGATGGCAGGAGAATGCTGCACCCAGGTGACTTCCCCGAGAAACTGATACTCAGTGCCTTCCCCTTTGTCACTGCCTCTGCCCTGGAGCAAGGCCTCACTTCCTCTCCTGTGGCCTCCTGAGCAGCAAGCTGCAGATCCAGCTCCACGCAGTATCAGAGCCAGAGACTTCATGGCTGGAATGAGAAGAGCTTCAGACCGGTATTAGAATTCTACCACTGAAACAGACTGACTAAGCCTGGCAGTAATAAATGAATTTGCAAAAAGGAGGACAGGCACAATCAAGGGAAGAGTCCGAGAATAGTAGAGCCCCACAAATCCCATGAACTCTCAAGGGGTCCTGGGGCATTCTTGGTACTGTCTGGATCTCTGTGTCTGTGTCCTGTAGAGCTACAGTTACATTACCATGATTATCTAGGACAAAAGTACTGCATGTAGTATGAATCGTGGCACATGTGCCCCCTGGAGCAGATGGTGTGGGGCAGTGGATCCCAGGACTTTTACTGTTGGTTCCATCTGATGATCAGTGGGAGTTTGGCAGCCTCTAGGCAAGGATATACAAACTCTACCAAGAGATTGCAGCATGTGTGACCAAAGCATCAGAATGGGAAGGCAGACTGGGGAAGGAGCCACATCCAGACCCTGTTTTTCAGAGATTGGAATAGTAATGTAAGCAGCTAGCTCCTAGACCTGTTCACAGGTGTAGCTGGAAACTGTCCGCAGGGGCCAGAGACTGGAGCCCTCTTTTTATGTGTCACCTGTATTACCGTTACTTTAATATGTTTTTGGTTATGTTGTACTTTTCTGCGGGGTGTTCAAGACCAAGTTAAAGTGAGGCCTGTGTTAATCAAAATTAACCTGTTATCTGTCAAGGTCAGTCAAGGCTCCTCAGGCATTATTTTTTTGTTTGTTTGGTTGGTTGGATAGTTGGTTGGGGTTTTTCTGAGACAGGATCTCCCTGTATAGTTCAGGGTGGCCTTGAACTCACTGTGTTGCCTAGGCTGGCCCCAAATTCAGTGATTCTCCTGCCTCAGCCTCCTGAGTGCTAGGATTACAGGTGTGTACCACCGTGCCTGGCTCCTGAGACATTACTTTTGGGACTATGTGCAGAGCCTCCCAGCTCCTCTGTCCATGTCAGCTGCCAGGATGGGTCAGGGTCTTGCTTCACCATGTGGCTTTCTGTGGAAGCGTGGCTTGTGATGCTCCTTTTAGCACACTGTACATTGGTTGACTCTTGTCCTCTGGCATCCAACAGTCTCCCTGGCAGGAGGTTGGGCGGCTAGCCAGCCTCCTTCACCCTGTACTTGCAAGTTGTTTCTGCCATGGGCCCTGATGTATATTTGATGCTGATGTTTGGAGCTCTGGCCCTGGCCAAGGCCTGCTGTGTCCGCTGTGTGTATCCAATGACCAGGGCCCATCTTGTCACCAGCCTGCACTGTCAGATTGAATGATCTTCACATGGCACCTGGTGAAAACATTTCACCCTCTTTCACCTGACACTGACCTGCTTTTCAAGACTTCTCTCTGTGAATCTTCTTCTCTCACTGAGGAATTAAGAACATGGACTCTGGAACCCTCAACTGTGCCCTTGGAAAAGATGCTTAACTTTTCTGTGCCTTCTTTTGCCATTTGCAGAGGGAAGGTGACCATGGTCCCTTACTTCCTAGGATCGTTGTGGGCAGATGAGTTATGTACTTGGAGCATTTAGATTAGTCCCTGGTGGGATGTAGGTGTTGTTTGTTACCTGCACCTGGATATATACTGCCTATACCATTGGGCCCACCCACTGCCATACCTGTGTACATGTTGGTTCTGGAAAATATTTTCCCAGGCTAGGCACCCCTTCCTCTATGAAGCACTCCTTGCCTTCCAACCTGCTTTGATTCCTGTACCTCTGACCGTGCTTTCCCACAGGTTGTGCCCTCAGCCCCACTTCTTGCCATGTGAGCTGCATACTGTTTTCCAAGAGGCAAGCTGCCAGCTGCCGGCTTGTGTCCTCCCTCCTCTGAGTGGTGGAGGTAGGGTGAAAGGAGGGCGCCATGCCCTGGCTGTGTCATTCTTGGTGGCAGCTCTCCCTCTGCAGCTCTACCTGTATGGGATAATAAGCAGCACCCCTCTGTTGTGGGTTAAGTGAATGATGCCCAAGGGATATGGTGTTAGAATTACAGCACTAAAGAGTGGCCAGTTGGTTTGGGAACTGAATATGCAGCCCCTCCTACCACCCCCAGGCCATGTCCTGACTCAGGGTACCTCCTTCCCAGGGTCTGCTCTGCCCAGAGCCCACCAGCCGGCTTCCCTGCTGCTGCCTTCTGTAGAGGACACTGCTCATTCCATAAAGACTGACCTCCCTGCACCACTGGACTCCAAGGTGAAGCCACCTTCTTATGCCTTCGCCACACCCCTAGATTGGGGTCCCCTTCCAAGAGTGCATTCTTCATCCTGGAGACCAGCCTGAGAATGGAGAAGAGAAAGAAACTCCATCAGATTACTCCTGAATTCTTAGAACATGACAGCAGAATGTGGGCCAAGGGATGAGTGCGCTTTTGTGTGTGTGTGTCTTCATTTGGTGGGGATGGAAACCAGGACCAAGCTCTTGCAGGGCAAGTGCTCTGTGACTGCAGATACGTGTTTTAGTGGACTTCCTCATCACGTGTGTTTAGATGAGAGCTCAGCTGGTAACTGGCATCCTCTCCTTGCAGATAGATGTGTTGTACACACAGGCATTTGGTGAAAATTCTGCCTTCCCCTGGACTTTTTTTTTCAACTCATTTGTCTTGGATTGAATAACTCAGCATCAATGATCTTGAAGTTTGAGTGACTTGGGTTCCAGGATGCACTATGACTTCTGTGGGTCTTAAGCACTTTTGCCTTCATGGGCCACTTCCTCTGTTAAAAAAAAGAAACTAACCAAAATTATCTTTCATAGGCACAGCATAGTGTGGTGCAGCCTGTGATCCCAGCACTTGGGAGGCAGAGACAGAAGAATCCTCCCAAGTTTGAGGCGAGCATAGGCTACATAGTGAGTTCAAGTTTAACCTGCACTATGTAGTGAGACCCTGTCTCCAAAAAAAAAAAAAAGAAATTACTTTCATGACCATATTGATATTAAGATAAATATAATCCACATTGATTTAAAAAGTAGAACATTGAGAGGCCTGGGATTTAGCTCAGTGGTTCCGCCACCTGCTTTGCAAGCACAAGGACCTGAGTTTGATCCCTGGCTCCAAAAACAAAAAGTAAAACATTGGACTAGGGAGTGTAGCTCAGTTTGGAGCACTTGCCTAGCACACATGAAGCTGTGGGTTCCCTCCTAGGGGTAGGGCATGAGAAGGAGAGAGAGAGTGACAAAGAGAGAAAAGAAAAAAAAAGGAAGGGAAGGGAAGTACTAAATGAATTAGTTTTTGTTTCTCTTAAAAGTATCATGGGCTCAACGTCTGGGGAAGAAAGCAGCTCATGGGTCTGGTTACTGGGCTTCTCCATGAAGGAGGCTCTTGTTAAGCAGAGGATATTGTTTTGGATTTGTCACTGATTTTTTTTAGAGATGATTGTTCACTTGGGAGAATGATCATAATATCATGTGAAAACAGAAACCCCAAATATGTGTGTGTGTAGCATATCCTCATTTTGGGTAGATTAAACCCTAATGTATCTAATTGGTGGGAAGTACACTAAACTTCAGTAGCACTTAAGAGGATAATGGGGTTGGGGAGAAAGACTCATCCCTAATTTTCTAAAACTGTTAAAAGAACATATAACTTTTAAAAATTTAAATTTGTATGCACCTGCCATTAGAAAGGGAGGTTTCTGAAGCAGAGCTTTTTATAGACTGCTGAATGCACCAAATCTCCAAAACTCTGATCCAAAGAATTGCACTTGATTGTATGAGCCCTACTTGGTGACCCAGCATATGTAGCCTGTGCATAAGACTGAGGCACTAAGCTTGGCCATTGGTCTTTGACCCCCAGAATATTCACATGTTAGTACATCCTGTAATCCCAGCACTCACTCGGGAGGTGAGACAGGAGGATCATTGAGAGTTCCAGGCCACCCTGTTAAGGATAGCCTGAACTGCCTAGTGAGACCCTGTCTCGAAACAAAAACAAAAACAAAATTACCCTGAAAGCTTCTCTTGTGATCTTCATTTTTGCTGATGGGGAAATTGCAGCTCATAGAGGTTGAATAACTCACCCAAGGTCAGAGATCAAGTTCGAGGTGGGGCTGGTATTTAAGCATGGTCCTATCCACATCCTTTTTACCACTCAGTGCCCTCCATCCTTTCAGTTCTAGGATCCCCTGAGGTAGCAGACCAAAAAAAAAAA